ATGTCTTTATTTAACAGCTGCAAAGTGACACTTCAAAAACAACCAAAGGGCCTTTCACAATGTTTTCCTTTACTCTTTCTTTCTCTTCTCTTTAAACAGCATTCCTCATCCTTTCTGTCTTTCCTTTTTTTTTCAAAAGACTTTATTCTTCAATACAACTCTCCTACTTCACCCTCTTTCATCATTAGATCTCCCTTTCCTCTCTTTCTATTTTCAGTACATTTCTTCTTTCTCACATTCTTTCTCTTTCTGATATGTACTTCTTTCTTCATTACATCACTTCTTCTTCACCCTTTTTCTTTCTTGTTTCTTGTCTGGCTTTCTTCGTTAGATTTCCTTTTTTCTTTACTCTCTTTATCTCTCTTTTTCATATAAACCTTTCTTCATTATATCACCCTTTATCTCTATCTTCATTATATTTCTTCTTTCTCACTCTCTTTCTCTTTTACCTTTTCTTATACTTTTTCATTACATCCTTTCTTCCTCAATCTCTTCCTCTCCCTCTTTCTTCAAAATCTTTCTTTATTACATCTCTCTTTCTCTCTTTGCTAATGTTTCATTCTCTTGTTTTAATTTCTACCCTTTTTATTTTCTCATCATTCCGCTAATCCCATAATCCAATTCACTGCCTGAAACAGCCATCTTGCTACATCTGCTTACAAAACAGTTACCATTATCAAATATTAATCATTTGTCAGTAAGGTTTTATCACATATGAATAATTCTACCTCTTCAGAATTTTAAGAAACAAAAACAACATAGATTTCAGGTTGAATTGATTAGTGAAAAAGCACCTGCAAATTTATCCATCAAAAACATTGAAATTATTCCAGGGGCAATTCTAGCAAATAAATATGGCTGAAGCAGATGGCAAAATTCTTTTCTGTCTATAAATACTTGCTAGGGAAGGGGTGGAGACTCATTTGGTAATGACGTTGGAATTTAAATTCTTCTTTTTTAACATAAGTGAAATCAGTATTTTTTTTTTTAATAACCACAATATATTATTTGTTTTGGTATTGAATAGAGTTTCTCAAAATATCTCTACATAAATAGCTAGTGATTAATTTTGCTTTTATCTACTTTGAATCATATCATATTAAGAGGATTATTTGATAATCCCCTTCTCTAATCTTTGTTGGTTGTTCAATGAACTTTTTCAAGTATTCTTAATTATTGAAAAATTAATGGAAAAAATCCTCATCTTTCTTTTGTAAAAGCATTTTCCTCTTGAGGAAATATTTAATATTCCAGAGACGTTTTACAAGAAAAATAGATCAATTAAAGAACAAACAATTCTACTTCAACATATCCATTCCTTGGATTTCTATTCAATTTTTCTTTACACCCACAAACACCCACACACACACACAGACACTCTGTAGGGTAAAAGTTTGGAGTCGCACTCTTGATTTAATAATTAGTAGGTTTTATATATTCTTTCATTTAGTCAGTAAGGTAGATTTAGCAAAAGGAGCTAAAATTTGAAGGAAATATTATGCAGTTAATTGGTTAATTTCATTATTCTTCTTATTATTATTGAATATATGATAAAACCATTCAGGAAGAGAAAGTCTTTCTGGCCCAAAGTGAGCAAGTAAATTAATTTAGAAAAAGGCATGAATCCTTCAATTTTTAGGCAATTTTTTTGAAATCCAGACTTTGCTGCAAACTTTTGGCCGATTTTGTGTGTGTATATTTGGTAATGATGTTGGAATTAAAATTCTTCTTTTTTAACATAAATGTTTTTTTTTTTTAATAACTGCAATATAGAGGCGTGGTGGAGTAATGGATAGCAGCTTGAATTGTGGAATCGGAGAGCCAAGTTCAAATTCCAGTCAAACCCATTATATTCACTTATGTGCTAATACCCTTGGGAAAGGTGTGAATGCTCTTCTTCTCCCTCCAGATATGGGTAAATAGCAGGACAGACTGGGTTCTATAGCCTTGAATGGCAACTAGTCTAGGAGAAGGACAACTCTGAATTCAAAACCAGTGGAGGGTTGTTTGGGGACCCTGTGGCAAGTAGTGCACCAAGTCTCTGTATTCAGCCCTTCAAAAAGTGTGAATGGTTCTGCACAAAATCTTCACCACTATAATCAAATCTCATGTGCTGTTGCCGGGCTGTCAGTTTCCTAGGAACTAGTCTGCTTGACCCTCATATGTCGAATTCAATGGGAGATTCAAGTATATATATATATATATATATATATATATATCTCCTGTAATAAAGAAATATTGCCCTACTTGTTTATTGAACTTTATTTTTAGATTAATATTGTAATATTATGAATGTCTGAATTTATGTTTGATTCATTCTCATCACATTTGTTATATATATATATATATATACATACACACATGCACATGCACACAGTGTGCAGGTAATTGACTTGTGTCAGTTGTTCAGTAAGGACTTATAATTTACTGAACCCTCATCTGTTATGTTCAAATCCATCCATATAATGCTAATTATATTTTTCTTAGTGTTTTTCTTTGAAAGAAATTTTCCATTCCACTACACTCTCTTATCCCTAATGTCAGAAAAATTATTCTGTTTTTGTTATTATTACAATCACATCATTGACTTTGCTAAGCAAAATCTTCCTATAATTTCTCTGAAAGTCATTTTAAAGGCTAATTACAATAACTAGAGCAAAAAGAACAATACTGAATACTAGTCATTTTATTATTATTATTATTATATATCTATATTAGGCTTGTAAGTTGTGTGGGTGGCATAATGACTATTGTTGTGGTAAATGTGAGATGGAAATTGAGGCAGGAATGTGAGAGAGAAAATGAAACAGGCAGACAAGGAAAGAATTGAAATAGGCATGTGAAAAAGAACTAAGATAGGTAGTGTGGGGAAAGAAATTGAGACAGGTAGGTGAGACAGAAATTTAGACAGGCAGACAAGAAAAATTGAGACAGGCAGGAGAGACAGTAACTGAGACAAATGGTGAGAAAGAAATTGAGAAAAGTGAGAGAAAATTGGACAAACAGGCAAGAAATACATTTAGACAGGCAGGTGAGAAAGAAATTGAATTAGATGAGAAAGAAATGCATTTAAATAGTTTAAAATGGAATAACTGGGTAATCAGTTTGGATGAATTTTGATATTTTCTCTGTTTTGAAAAAAAAACAACAAAACAGCATAAATTATTTTCTCTTGCTGTTTTGTTGCTTTTTTTGTTCATTTTAAAATTGATCATATAATTCCATAATTTGTGGCTTTGAAGCTTTAAAAAATACATCTTTCTTGGTTAAATCATTTTTTCCTTAATGGATATTTTTTGGAGATATTGTCTGAAATTCTAAAATGAATCAATATCATTTCGAGAGTTTCTTCACATCAGCAAAAATGTTATTCCATAATAAAAGCTTCTTATGAATCATTAAATGGTATTTGTAATTTTAACATTTTCAAAATTGTTCAGACAATTGAACATATTCTTTTTATTGCTTTTGTTATTTGCATAATCTTTTCCCCAATCCATTCTACAGCTTTTCCCTTGATGTACACAACATATGGAAAGACAAGTGGGTCAATATTTTTGGTGGTGGTAGCATTGCAAACCAGAAAATATTCATAACAGAAAATGATGTTAATCAGCTTAATTTTTACCATAAAATATGCAAAAAGATAAAAGCAACTCTGAAAAAAATACCTTTAGGTGATATTTGATCTACAAATAACAAGTTCTGGCAATCTTTAATCTTCATAACTGCAAAAAAACAGAGTGCAAAAAGGAGAGTTTTTCCCTTGACACTGCTATTATTTTAACTACCTTCACTCTTTGGCAATGTTTATTGTTTTAAAAAGTGACGATTAGAATTGTAATAAAACCTAAAGATATGATGAAAGTGGATTTATATATTTTTTTGTCCTTGAGAATTTACAACAAAAATATTAAACACTATTTATTAGGTTGTTTATTTGAAAAAATATTTTTATATTTGCAACATTCTAAAAATTAATACAATTGTATTAAAACTAATGCAATGCAATATTTATCATTTACCACTTTATAAAGAAATAAATTCAAGAAACAATTTTTTATTCATAGATTTATAGATATTTACTAAATTATTAAAATATGTGAACCAACTACAAGGAAATCCTCATTATTTAATATTTTATAAAGTTTGAAACAATTTACAATTAGCCAATGTTTTGCCAACCATTCCAGTAAACAGTATAATAAATAAAAATGTAAATAAACAATTTAATAAATAAATAGTGTTTATTACTTTTGTTGTCAATTCTCAAGAAGAAAGAAAATATATAAATTCACTTTCGTATGTTTAGGTTTTATTAAAATTCTAATCATCACTTTTTAAAAGATTTAACATTGCCAAGGTATGAAGCTGTGAGAAAATGAAATAAAACTAATAAATAAAATAATAATAAAGAATAAAAAAAAGAAAAAAGAAATTCATTTTCCCATGTTGCAAGTTATAAAGAAACTAAAAAAGGGTTTTGGTCACATGTGATTTTATGACCTTACTTCTGGAAAAGACAGAATATTTTTCTTTTCCATTTTCCAACAACATTGTTTGAACGTGTTTTGGTAGCCTTACTCATGAAGTAAGTGAATTGGTCATTCCAACTCTGTGCAAAGCTGACTTGAGCTCAACCATTTTATCATTTGTTATTCTAACTTCTGAACCAAAAAGAAAACAGACGTACCCAAGGGATATTGAAAACTTTGTTGCACTACAGTCACCATAAAAAGAATAAACATCTGTAGCAGAACCTCAATTTTTTGCATGCTTCCATCTTTGCTTACGTATTGAAGATGTGCCTTCACCTAAAATACACAAAATATGCAATCTATTAACTTCCAGAAAGCTAGTTAAAATAATAGTGGGATCAAGGGAAAAACTCCTTTTGAAACAGTTTTTTTGTAGGCGCAAAAGTTAAAGATTGACAAAATTCTACTATCTAAAAGAATTACCAGATGTAGCATTATCAATGATTATTAATTTTTTACTATTATTTCTTTAATCTTAATTTCAGTTGCTTTTTATTGCAACTACTCATATTCAGTGAGATTGGAAATAAAGAATTGATTCTTAGGGAAACAAATTTGTGATTCTTTTTAATTCAGTGTATGAGTTTGTGGCTCACCTTGAGTATATTCTTTATTTATAATCTGTGATGTTTATTAATGGCTGTAGGTTGAATGATAATCTGTGTAGGTGTGAAGAAAAGACACTAGACTTGGTGTCACTTGACTCTAGCACATGTCCACCAGATAAAATGGTGTAAAAACTCAATAACTGGATAGGTGGGTAGGAATTGCAGTGGCAGCAGTAGCAGTGGTGGTGACAGTGGTTGTGGCAGTGGTGTAGTTGGAGAGATGGTGGTGTTAGAAATAAAAATACTGAAAATGATGATAATGATGATGTAGAAAATGTCTTATCCAATGAGTCATTGAGGAAAATCTTCAAGCAATTGTTTTGAACTGTAGTTGAACCCAAGTTATAATGAAAGACCCAATGGGATAAACAATTTTTTTCTTAAAGGTATAGAGAGGGAGTGGGGAATAAGAGGGAGAGAGAGGGAAGGAGAGCATCAAAGAAGATAGGAGAGAGAGGTTGAAAGAAGAGAGAGGAAGAAAAGGTAAAAGATATGTGAGAGAAGTTGAAAGAAGAGAGAGAGAGTAAGAGAAAAGATTGAAGAAAGGAGGAGGGAGATGATGAAAGAAGAGAGAGGGAAAGAAAAAAGAAAAGTAAAAACAGTACAAGAAGAAATGTGCAGAGAGAGGTGGAAGAAGTGAAAGAGGGTGGAAAAAGGTGAGTGAAAGAGAGAGGGTGGTAGGAGGAATCAATAAAGAGAGAAAGTGAAAGAAGTGAGAGAGAGAGGAAAAAGGAAGGGAGAATAAACAAGTGAGGGAGAGAGAAAGGAAAAAAGGAAAGGTGAGCAAATGAGTGAGGGAGACAGAGAAAGAATGTGAAGAAAGTAAAACAGGATAGGAGAAAAGATAGAGGGTGGAAGAAAAGAGAGGAGGAAAAAAGAGAGAAAGAAAGGTGAAAGGAAAGAGAGGTTGGATGATGTGAGAGAGAAAGAGAGGCTAAGAGAGAGAGAGTGAGATGACGAGAAAATGAGAGAAAAGAGAAACCAAGACAGTCTTAAATTATTAATAAATATCCTTTGATATTTTTTTATATATTTTTGTTCCTTTCAGTCTTTCCACTGTATCTGATTTTGTTCCTGAAGAGTTTTAAGATTTTCTTTCTTAGCAAAGCATTTACGCAAAACCATTGGTGATTTAAAAATGTCAGATTCTAAATTCCTATCTTACTAAAACTGAAGGAGATTTTCATGGTAAAAATATTTCTTCCAAGATCACAAAAGTTCTAACAGAGGATCAGTTTGACCAATAAAATCACGGCCTATAAGTTTATATATTTATTTCTACAGGAAGTCCCTAAATTCTGGCCACATAGGCAAAAATGCATATTTTCAAGAAATGAAATTTTCAACATTTTATTGAATTGGAATATTAACAAATAACATCTTCAATATGATTTCTATCATTTGTGATGCAAAGGTTGATGTGTTTTGCATGATTCACATGGACTCAATTGCCATCAATTTTAGCACATTCTCTCTTTACACATTCAATCAAGTATGTTGCATATGTGATTTTCATTGAGTACACCTTTTCCTTTAGCAGACCCCCAGAAAAAGAATCCAATTCTTTCTTCTTTTAACAAAACCATGTTTAATCTGTGGAGGTAAAAAATAATATAGTTAATGAGATTTCCTATGTGTCAAGATATCAAGGACATCCTGTATAATGGCTGTTTATAATAAATATGATATCTGATAGGATTTATTAAACAAATACAGGAAAAATTAAAGAAATACATTGCAAATTATTTTACTATAGATATGCATACCAGATTATTTACAATAGAAATGCATTACAATTATGAAACAAATTCATAAAAAATGAACTTCCATGATTATATATCCAATGATATGGTAAATTATACTCAAAGTACAAATAAAAATTGAGTAGATACTTACATTTCCTTAGTACATTTAGACATATGAGTAGATATAGTGAAATGTACTTTTTGCGGCTCGGAAGAAGGAGCGTATTGCATCTCGCAAATTTGGCTCCAAAGATTACTGGCGTCTCTGCAAGAGTGCATTGAACAATTGCAAACCCTCTATACCTCCTTTATTCAACCAGTTCGAAGTCCTGACCTCCTCTGCCGACAAGGCTGAATGCTTTGCTCGGAAATTTTCATTCAACTCGACGCTTGACTCTTCCGGTGTACCCATACCCGACTTCCCTCTTAGAACTGAGGCTCTATTGAGTGGGCTACATATAACCCCGTCTCTGGTATTGGGCATTATCTCCAATTTAGACCCCAACAAGGCTAGTGGTGGAGATGGGATACCAGCCATTGTCTTGAAGAAATGCGCGCCTGAACTAGCGCCTGCCCTTTCTAAACTATACAACTACTGCCTCAAGGAATCTTGTTTTCCGGACTGCTGGAAGTCCTCTTCGATTGTTCCTGTCTTCAAGAACTCTGGCGACCCCTCTGACCCTTCTAACTGCCGTCCTATCAGTCTCCTACCCCTCTTCGGCAAAGTCTTTGAAGCCCTAATCAATACCGAGGTGGTTAACCACCTTACATCTCATGATCTGCTCTCAGACAAGCAATATGTCTTACGCTTTGCCCGATCTACAGCTGATGTGCTTACGGCCATCACTGAAACTGTCTACCGAGCACTTCAAAATAATGGAGAAGCTCGTGCTGTGGCACTAGACATCTCCAAAGCATTTGATAGGGTTTGGTATGCCGGCCTTCTTCGCAAGCTCCAGGGTTATGGCATTACGGGTCGATTGTTTAACCTAATACAATCATTCCTGTCAAACCGTGAAGTGGAGGTCATTCTCAACGGATTCTCCTCCAGTTCTTATCCCACGAACGCAGGTGTTCCTCAAGGCTCCATCCTAGGCCCCACTCTATTCCTTATCTACATAAACGACCTTCCTGACGCCATAAATTCCCAAGTTGGCATCTACGCGGATGACACCACAATTTATTCCTGCCTCAAAAACAAATCTAGTGTCACTGACAAAACTAACCTGGCCGTGCATCTCGAAAAGGACCTCCAATCGGTTGTGAACTGGGGCAGGAATTGGCTGGTCAACTTTAACGCTTCAAAAACAAAACTGCTCTCTATTAATCACCACAGAGATCCTTCCCTGCCCTCCATTAGAATGTCTGACGCTCAACTTCTCGAGAGCAACTCTCTGCGGCTGCTCGGTCTCACATTGACTGCTGACCTGAGATGGAACAAATACATTGAGTCAATTGCTTCGTCCACTGCAAGGAAAGTTGGCTCCCTGTGCCGCGCCAGGAAATTTTTCTCCCCGGAATCGATCCTCCAGATCTACAAATCCACAATTCGCCCTTGCATGGAGTATTGCTACCATATATGGTCTGGTGCCCCTTCTGTTTGCCTCGGAGTTCTTGATAGGCTCCAGAGGCGGATATGCAATATAATTGGCCCTGCTCTGGCATCTCGTCTACAGTCACTTTCTCACAGACGCGCCGTCGCCTCTCTCTGTCTGTTCTACAAATACTTTCATAGTAATTGCTCCGAGGAGCTGCATTCACTGGTTCCCAGACTTCATGAGTTCAAGCGCCCTACGAGGCTGACATCCCACTCTCACCCCTTCACTGTCGAAACTCCTAAATGTAGCCATCTCTTCTACTCTAATAGCTTCATGTCTCGCACCTCTCGCCTGTGGAACTCCCTTCCCTATTCCAGTTTCCCTGAGAGCTATAATCTCCAGCTATTCAAGTGTAATGTCAATCGACATCTCCAGTTGCCTTGATCTATCCACTACCCTTCTCCTCATACCCTCTTCTATCACTCCTATCTGATCTCGCTCTATATTTTATGTAACCCCTTGCATCCTAGTGGCTTCCTGCCTTGCTTGGGGGGAAATGCTTAAACAAAAAAAAAAAAAAAATTCAATAAGTACACTATTTGATATTTCTCTGTATACTGCCAGATGTCAGAGAGAAAGGGTACATCCTTAACAAAGAGTACATTGCCTACCCTAAAGAATTTTTAATAGCAACTTTTCAAATTCTGGTTTCAGCATTTCATATTTACAAAAATCAGGAAATAAGAAATTGCTAGTATTTGTGATTCAATACAAAAGTTAATGAAATATATATATATATATATATATATATATATATATATATATATAATCATGAGACCTGTAACCCATTAGTGTCGTAGGGCACCACATGTACTGCATTTGAAGTAGCAGCTGTGTTTCCTGGGTAAGACAGCTTGATGAAGCCCAATCCTCTCCAACTTTTGGTTTTGAATTGAGAGTTTTCCTTCTCCTAGACATGTTACCACCCAAGGCTATAGGACCCAGTTTGTCCTGCTATTTACCCTTAGATGGGGAGGGAAGAGATGGATTCCTACGTTTTCTAAGATTATTAGCATGTAGGTATTGCTTCTCTCTCTCTCTCTCTGTATATATATATATATATATATATATATATATATATTATTTGACGCAGACTTCAGTTATGTCAATAAAGCTTTAACAAATTGATAGCTGTTCAATAGAGTGTATCTGATCCACATAAAGAGATAGGAACACACTAACCTTTATGAAATAATATAATATTATAATAGACAGGGAGCAGCATTGCCAACTAAGAAGGTTGAAAGAATTTTACCACATACTATGCTCAGATAACTTGATCAGTAGTCCTATCATAGGCATTAATAGATTCTTGGAATCATTAATCAGAAAAGAACAAATAATGAATGGTTATGAAATGGTTGAAATGCTGTGTAAAAGAATATAGACAAGGAAATTATTAGTTCAAACCAACCACAGACAGTAATATCCAATTTTTATATTTTGACTAAGAAGCACCAAGGAAAAAGATTGAATAAATTAGACATGTTAAGAATTTATTTCTTAAATAAATAAATAATTTGGGCTTGACTATCATTTACCAAGCACACGATCCTGAAGTTAGACAATGACTTGAGTAAAACAGTTGACTAAATGGAACAAGCCTAATTGACTAAAATAGTTATACAATATCACAGTATTTTAACAAGTACAACCACAGGTCAGATTGAACAATCATATGACTATAATCAAACTACTGTTGCTACTTTATCTACTCTTAATTGTAACTAGGTTGAATATAATTTGTTTATTGAAGGCAGATCTAGCACAATAACAGGAAAGGTTATTTTATTTAAATTATTAATTTCTATTCAGACATTTTCTTTGAATCTATTCTTCCTCACTGTAATTATCTGCACTGTACATGTGTTTATCAATACCATTTAGTTAACTGTTTTATTCAAATTGTTATCTTCCTTCAGGACCATGAACCCAGTAAAAAGTAGTCAAGCTAAAATTTTCTCAAAGTGATGAGTCTTAAGATATATCCAAAGAGCTGAGTTTCAAATTCCAGTCAAGTTTGTTACATTCAATTACATGCAAATACCCTTAGTAAAGGCATGAATTCATTTCCTCTATCAGTTATGGTCTAAATAGTAGGACTTGTATCTGGAAAAATCATTGTTATTCTCAAAAAAATGTTAATGCAATATTCACTCAGAAAAAAAGAGAGAACTATTTCTGCAATCCAAATTCTGATTCCACTTTAAGTGACCCACAAAGGGTTGATAAGTTGTAAAAAGCAAAACAACCAATCAATAAAAATTTAACCATAGCATACTTAAATGGTGAGTTGGGGTGGGTGTTAAAAATAGATTGGGGAATATAGTTCAAAACCATTGGAACAAAAATCTCTTCTCTCAATAGAGAAAAAAAAATTAAATGTGAAATTAGCCCTAAAAATAAATAAAGAAAAAAATAAAATAGTGAGCAATATAATAAATAGTTTTTTAAAAAAAACACCTAAATATTAATAAAAATTTCTTTGTTTTTTTTTTTTTTTCTTTTTTTAATTTGCTTCTTTGAAATTTTCATGTTAACTGAAGTGCAGCTTTCTGACTGAGAAATATTGTCAAGTCTTAAGAATGGATTTGTTTTTCTCTCTAACAAGTGTAGCCAAGATTCCATATGTTCATTGTAATGTAAGTCTTCAAGTAACTTGTTTGGAGTTATCAGAATTAGTTTTCAGCTGATAAGTGCCAGGCTGGCAGACATGCTGCTGAAAAATATATTGAACGGCTGGGGGTAAGATACAGATGTTTCTTTTGCTAAGTTGCTGTGAAAAAGCAACAAGATGCAAATAAACAAGCATCTAAAATAACAACGTAAAAAAGGGGAATATAATGTATGTTAAAAGTTCCTTATTTACATATATAATTTGTTCCAGATGTACTCCAACTTGTAAAAAATGGGTTTTTTTTTTTATAAGTAAAACCCTGCCCAGTGTTGAGTTTTGATGGATTTTTATGGTTTATCAACCCTTTGTTGGTTATTGAAAACCAAAACACATTTTGGATTGTAAGAATAATTTTTATTTTATTTACGAGTGAATATTGCATTAACAATTTAAAAAAAAAAATAACAATTACTTTTCAAGATACAAGTCCTGCTACTTAACCCATAGTTTGGGTGGGGAGATATATCTATACCTTTCCCAAGGGTATTTGTGGGTCAGAGAATGTAACAAACCCAACTAGAGCCATGTGTTGAGAGTCTCTTTGAACCCATAAACATTGAGAAATCATTGCATGAACATGTATGCCAAACATGTAAAAAAAAAAAGAAAAAAAATAGAAGAAAATTCATAATTTTTTAAAGGATATTTTTTATGCCTATTTTTACTTTAATTATATAAAAAAAAGCTATAAAATTGAAATTTTAACTCTTGTAGATCATAAAAATAAAGATTATTTTAATATTTTTAACAATATAATACTCTTTGAAGCATTTCATGCACAATAGAGTTTTGTGTATTTTACACCAAACTATTACTATCTTGACCTTGTAACGATAACGCTAACAATATTGTATCAAGAGTGACACTAATAACATTGCAGTAACAATAACCTGGTAACAACAAGAATTCTGTAATGTAAGTTCGATATAATGCATATTAGCATTATATCGAACTTCTTTAGGCTCCTTTTGTTCTGTTTATAATATCGATAGAGTTCAGCATCGATCCTTTACATTTACAAAGTTATTGGAAATAGCTGTGATGCATAAATGTCAAATTTGCAGCTGAAAATAGTTGTGAGAAACATCAAAAAAGTGTACAGTCAGCTTATTCTCATTTAAAACAGCTCTGATACCATTTCGTTCATTGAACAGTAACCCTCTAACTTGAGAGGATCTCGAACCTTATATTTCGTGAACTTTAATAAAAAAACAATAATTTAACGATGGTGGGGGCCATAAGAGTTATACTAAACTGACTAATTCACCTGACTAATTAACTAACAGAAAATTCACCTCTTTACTCTTCAAGAAGGATGCATGTAGACATTAGCAGTCTTTGGCTTGTCATTCCACCTTTATTTGCAGGTAAATACTCCTGGAAGGATGTAAACTGCATGAATCCTAACAAATTCCTGAATCTTTTTTGTGCTATTGGTTAACTGATTTGTCATGTGTGTTTTGTTATTGGGTTAGTCAGTGAAAGGCAATTTAATTGAAATATTATTGGATAACTAGCAAGTTAACTGGTGCAGTATTGTAGTGGCTGTATCAGCAATGTATATGTTGTTTGAATTATCATTATTTTATTAGACAGACATTCTCCAAGTAAACAAGTGAATTCATAGACAGCACTAGTTTGTTGAAGTTTTCATTTTTGTTGTATTATCTGAATAAATATATAACACAGATAATACAAAACAAATATATTTGTATAAATCTGACGACTGATCTCAGAGCATTCAAAGAATGTGTGTCAGGAAGCATATGTACATATATATATATTTGTTATTATTTGTATATTTATTAAGCTTGGTTTCATCCAACAGAAGATTAGATGTGGATAAGTGATGCAGATAAGAGGATTATATTTTGCCACTCTTCCATATAGAGAGGAACTACCTCTCTGTTTTAGAAATCCTTGGATTTTAGCTGTGTTTGATCACCAATACACCAACCACTAATGTTGGTAGCAAATAACAAACTATATCATGCAGTAAGTAGAAATATATCTCCAAATGCATTGAGAACAAATCAAATACAAATTCAAACATTCATGACATTAATTTAAAATAGAGCTCAATACAAAAGTAGAGCTATAATTCTTTATTATAGGTTATTACATTCAAACATGCATATTAATGCTACAAAAATGCATTGATGTTTCAATGCAACATAGCATCTCATCAGGTGGTGGAGAAATGATTGTTTCCCCACCACTTCATGAATGCTAATTTACATCAAAACATTAATGTATTTTTGTAGCAATAATATGTGTGTTCAAACGTAATAACCTATTATAAAGATTATATATATATATATATATATATATATATATATATATATATATATATATATATATATATATATATATATATATATATATATATATATTTGGGAGAATTAAAAATTAAAATTTCCAGACACACTAGGTTGTATATTAATATTTTTTGTTTTATTCTTTCAATTAGGTTCCTTGACTAGTTTCAGCCAGCATAGCCATCATCAGGAGAAAAAGAATCCCTGCTTGTTAGTTGCAGTGAACTACACAAGTGAATGACTATTTCTGAAGAAAGTGAACTTTATCTGTAGTTTTCATTTGTTTTTTTTTTTTTTGTTAATTTTGGTCAGTCCTTGTGTTGGTCAAACGGCCACTTTCAAGTTGATTTTAAGATAGACGATGGAAGATAGAGGATTGAAGATGGAGCATTGATATATAATCTCTTTGAGGATCAATAATACCCTGGTTCTATATTGCAGTAATGATAAATACATTCTGTCTTACCTGATAATTGATAGCGCATGAAACTTGAAGTTGCAGAAGGGTAAGAAACCAGAATTTAACAAAATATTTATAATTATATTCATAAAGAGTTAATGGATTTAGTTTTTTATTCCTACATATTTTTATTACTGCAAACGTTATTT